GGCGGCTCCCCACTTATGCAAATGAAGCCCGGGAAATTCAAATCCCGGACTTCATTTGCAAGTGCGGTATGCCTACATTACCCCGCTAATTCGAACTCGCGGGGTAGTGTAGACATACCCTAACAGATTTATTGGAGTATAAGCTTTCATGGGCAAAGACCCACTTTGTCAGATATTTGAATGTTAATTCATGTTTGTTTTGTAATTTGAGATGATTTAATGAAAAGTGCCATAGAAGTGGGAAGTATTTTTGCTGTGATAAACTTATAATGTGCTGTGTGATGGAGAATTAATCTGAAATGATCAATTCTCATTAAGAATATTCTCAGAATATGAACCATACATATAGGCTGTACCTTTCAGTAATGTGAATTGGATGTCTAGTGCCTTTCTGTCTCTTGCCTCAATCCTGCAGCCCTAATTAATAGCATTAAGATTAAATTGAGGCTGCTGGAGAAAGGAAATATCATAATTAGTAGCTAGATTAAATGTTAGCCAAATTCATGGAGGATTATAGCATTTTATTTCTTTATCATTCTTTATCCTGCAGGAATTACAACTGGTTCTCATAATGCTGTAGTCTGGAATTCTTTCAATTTTATATAATATATTGTTATCTGTTCTGAGTATTCTTTGAGACTAGCCTTGCTAAAGCCATCCAAATGATCTAGTGCAAGGGAGTTGACCTGAATGTGTTTGCCAGAGCTATGGCTTTTTTTTTAAGCTGCTTTCCTTGGCTTGGAAAAATCCAGTATTAGCCAAAAGTTCAGTTTTCGTAATTAAAAAAAAATCAAACGCACCATTCACAAAAGGCAAATCTCATGGATTAATAAGGAATAATGCTAAAGAGTATACCACTGTGACATATGGTCAGGGAAGATGAATGAAAGTATTTGTTGGCAGGATCAGGTCTCCAAAGAAACTCCAGACAAACTGTGGCCTTAAGGACATGTTCTACTACTGTACATTAAATTTTCTCAAATGTGGGCAGGTTTCTGCTTCTTTAGTCTCCTTGGAGTCTTTTAATTGGGGAAGGAGGGTTTGAATTTTTTCACCATGCAGCTTCCAGGGGCTTTAATCCTCTACATCTGTGTGAGTGTTCTAACATCTGCCTGTGGTATCTGCAGGGGGCATGAGACTCTACATATCTTCCTTACCACATGGCTTCCT